CTAGTAGGCAAGCTTTCCTTGGTCTCACTGGTAGAATTACCTTTTATATAACTTAATTTCTTTTCAGAAGCAGTATTCTTCAGATGTGATGTTTAAATGCTGTATTATATGAAAAATGCTTGTCTGCTGTTGCGTAACTTGCAAGAACTGTAGCTTCCATCAGGTTGTGTGAGTGAGCATCTGAATTTTTGTTCTGTGTCTGAATATTCAACCAACAGATAAATTTATTTTGCCTTAAGACCTTTTTCTGCTTTTTGACATCTGGGAAATGAATCATTGCTCATGATTCTGGAAAACTCAGTGTACCTCTTCTCTTTAGAAACCTGGAAGAATGTTCATAAATCTACATATTTCAGTTTAGTGTGTTTTATGCAGAAGATGGAATGAATCAATGGAGTCATAGCTGTGCTTAGTTTGAAAACAGTGTTGTTTCCCAGAGCTTGAGTTCAGCTCACCACCAGCTTTCATTCTGCTCTTCATTCTACCCCATGAGCAAATCAGTTGAGTGTGCAGATACAGGGCCAGCTTTATTAACAACCGCTTAAGAAAAGATAATCCCTGACAGTGTCTTCAACAAGGAATTTACCACAGAAATGGAGGTTAAGTTGGGCAAAACTGGTAGTTGTGGATAAAAGTTAATGTTTTGCATTTCTGTGGAAAACTTCATAAATTATTTTGATTCCCTGTTTTTTTTTTTTTAATCTTGGTGTAGACAAAATGTCTTTACTAAGATTTGTAGTGTTACTGCTTTACAAATCAAATCAATTTGTTTATGATCAAATAAGATCTTGTCTATGGTGTAAATAACATCTTTACCTTTTAAAGGGGTAAAAAAAAGGAAAAAATTAATAACCTGAAGGTATTGTTTGAAAGCAAATTCATCATATCCAAACCATGATCTTGGCAAATTTTTGCCTGTATCACAAAGATACAAAGTCAAGGCATGTTTATAACGAAAATACTAATGCAACCCTAGTCAGTTTAGGGCAGGCAGGTCTTGGTGCTTGTTTTGCAGTGTTTGCACTATATTTCAGGGACAGGATTTTAAATTATGCATTAAAATTTTTTTTTGTACCTAAAAATCAATTTTGTGCATAATTTTTGCAATGGTGAAAAGAAAAAAACTTGAACGCTTCCTCTCTTTTATCTCCTGTGAGTGGTGGGACATTGTGAAATAGGCCATGCTTGATTAATGTTGGGTATGATAATGTAAAGGGCTTTGAAGAAATCCCATCTGTTCATCATCAACTGGGAAGTTGAACTTTTTCATGTATCTTAAAAAAAAATAAGAGAAGCAATATAAGGAGGAAACAGCTAGCAAAGGTCAGGCTGAACTAGCAACTGAATTTTAATAATTTACAGGGTGTGGGGGGGATTTAGTTCTATTTTCATGCCTTTTAAACTGCCCTGCATATTTTCTTTGTTATCTCATCGTTTTAGAAAATGCTGGATTTTCTTCTTCTGACTGTTCATTGTGAGTTCAGGAGGAGGAATTAATTTGTAGGTTTATATAAAATGATTGTGTTAGCAATTCAGATTTCTTTTTAAAGTGTTGCTAGCTAGGAGTCAAGCATGGAGCATCAGACTTACAGTAAATAAAATGAAGAAAGCAGCCTGAGTCAGGCTTGTCTTATTTAGTCTAGACAGTACTTTTCATGCCAAAGTTGCTGGTCTCGCTTCTGCTTGCCAGAGTTACTCTGATACATAGCATTCCTGGTTTGCTTTTATCAAGCAAGAGAGCTTGCTTTCGCGTGATAGTTAGCTGCAAATGTTTGCTCTCCCTCTGCAGTGCTGCTGTAGCCTTATTAGTCTGTATCCTATCGTTTGTTTCTTGGAAATGCAATTAGGCGTTTGTTTGTCTGCCTAGGGTACACTTCAGCAATGGAAAGTTTTCGTCTAGTTTATTAAGTTAATGTCTGTTGTGACCATCTAATTACAAGCTATCAGATAAATTAGTGACGTAAGCCTATGTAATGCAAAAATCTTGTGTGTTCTTGGCTGTTTCCTGCAAAATTTAAAGACTAGAACTAGTGATTGCATCTCTTTAGTGTTAGAGGGAGCATTAGTAGTACCTGAGTATTTTGCATTGCAGCGATGCCCCGAGGTTCCACCGAGCTGTGCGGTGTTCAGATGTGCAGTGAGCAACGGGCTGAAGTTGGGAAGCAAGAAAATACCTTCAGCTGCGGTGACGGTTGTGACTAATAGATAAGAACTGTTTATCTCTTCAGTATAGTGGGCATGAGTTGATGCGTATGCCTTTCATTTCTTTGTTTTCAGTTCTAAAAACCTGCTTTAGAGTGTCAGTGAGCTTCTTTGAGTATCCTCTTGTGGGCTGTGGTAGCAGGGCAGCACCAGCTATCCCTAGTGGCCTTGACCCTTGAGTAGTGTTGTGAAGAATCAGTCTATCCTGCTGCTTATTTTTTAATCTGGATATTCCAACAACGGGAATAGAGGAAAATGCCCCATTCAGTGCCTCACATTGCTACCGTAGTGTGTTCTGAACAGAGATGAAACTGCCTGAACCATTTGCCTTTGAACAGCAGTATGAACCTGCCGGGGCCCCGGTGCAGGTGATGTGACTGCATACGGCACCTGGGTCCCCAGGCAAAGCCAGGACCAGTGTCCAGCAGAGCTCCAGAACCTGGCAGAGGCCACGCCAGAGGCTGGTTGTTTGCTAAGCTGGCACCAACAATCATAGCAACAACCACTGTTTTTTAGAGGGTTGGGAATACATTGTAGTAGAGCTGTTAAGATAATTTCCAGGGGCTCAGTAGGGGCTGGGGTGATGCTTGTTAGCAGTGTAGGTCTGATGTGTTTCCTTGTGACATTTTACATTTTTATTGTTTTCAGTGCTGACGTATTACTCGCCCTCTCTCTGAGGCTCTCCTCTGTTTCCTGAGGTCAGTTAGAAGGGCTAGTTCTGAAGATTTCTCAGTACAAAGAAAAAATACCCCTCACCGTGTTGCTGATCCCACTAGAAATCATGGCTTCTTTCTTAGAAGTCCCGCACACTGAAGGACCCTCTGCGTGCTGGTCTAGGAAGAAAAAACCTGTGTCCTTCACTGGCATCTGTACCCAAGTCATTGACAGCAGAGCTACGTCACTGGTCTCGTGTAGCTCCCTTGGTGTAGTTAGAGCAGTATGCGTGATTATAGTGGAAGATGCAACATCTCAGTTGGCTATACAATATCCTCTTGATTGTGAAGTAACATCTTTAAGAACTAGGTCATGTTGAGAAGAATTTGAATATCAAAAGAACAGTCAGATCAGAGGGATCTTGTAAATTCTTTGATGTTTGTATCAGCTCCTATTGGAACTGCACTTCTGGTGGGCAAGACCAATCAAAGCTGGCCAGAGGGCTGGGAAAAACCTGCTGCCGGTTAGCTTGCATCCACTCTGGCAGTGCATGTTCAACACAGGGCAACTTTTAAACATTGGCAGTACTTTTCTGTGTACCTATACTCAAGTTCTTTGGTAGTTATACACCAAGATCATAAAAACTGAGGACCAATGTGCATGAAAAAGGGTCTGAAGAGGTCTTAACTTTGGTTTCATGCAACTATTGTAAGCATACAACTTGATACAAGAATAGGGGATTTACTTCCAGTTTCTAGAGTAAAGATTACAGCTTTCTTGTGCAGAACTGGGTAAACCACTCTCTTGAAAAGCAAAACCTACTTTTACACTGCCTTAACAATAGTTAATTAACATTAATACTTAGTGCAAGCTAAATTAAGGAAGAAAATTGCAATACCTGAGAAGGAAGGAAGAGGCAACTCTCATAAATTTGGGTGTTAAAACTTTCAGCCTTCACCATATGGCAT